ACAATCTAAGGTCCCTAACTCTCAAGGGGTGTACAATCTAAGGTCCCTAACTTACATTCATACATACACATACTAGGGACAATTTAGACAGGATCCAATTCACCTACCAGCATGTCTTTGGTGTGTGGGAGGAAACCAGAGTACCCAAAAGAAACCCACACAGGCACAGGGAGAACATGCAACTCCAGGCAGGCGGTGCCGGGGTTGGGATTCAAACCAGCGACCCTAGTACTGCCAGGCGGAAGTGCTAACCATTCAGCCACTGTGCTGCCCAGTGAGAGAACAGCAACAGTAAATCAGAACCACTTGCAGAATTGAGTGATAATGATTTGTGAGGGAAATTCCTCATCAGACACTGAAAACGATTTTGCGACTTTGCTCAGCAATATGCGAATTTGGCGCTATATTCAAATTTCAGTGTTTTTGGTTTGATTATATTATTGAATTAAATGTATTATTATTATATTATTATTTTTTATGATTATTTATTAAATTATAATTTATGATTTCATGTTTAAAATTTTATCCTACCCGGGATGTTTACTAGACTCTTGTTCGGACAGATTTCAGTTAGTTATTCCTAAAAATTACAGCCTACAATAAAAAAACTACATATTTCCATGCAAAAAAATTTACCGCTTTGAGCACAGAAATATGAACATGATCAGACCATAGTAACATTGTACTACTTTGGGGAAGTGATCAGTATTTTGTTTTTCTTTTTACACAATTTGCTTATAGCAAATAATTACTTTGCTATAAGCAAGCATTTACCTGAATGACATCGATTCATTCAAGGTTTTTTTTTTTTTTTTTTGTGCTTAGCTGTGATTTGGCCACAGCTAATCACATGACATGCCATGACCATTCACAGCTAGGCACTAGTATACAATGGATGGCATCAATGAAGCCATCCATTGTATACAACTGTCATGTGACCTGCTGTGATTGGTCACAGCAGGTCACATGGTACCGGCAACGGGCCCGATACTCAGATCTGTCATCGGCCGTGTCCGAGGTACACGGCCGGTGACAGATTGCGCCGCTGCGCCACTCTGCAGGAGCGCAATCTGCTCATGTGCGGGAGGACACCATATGGAGTCCACCCAGAACGCTGATGACATTTGCTGGCCGCCATTCGGCCATAGGGCGGGCGGCAAATGGTTAAGATGATTTTAAGGAAATGTATGGTGGTTATTCTTTTTTCTCTTTTTACATGCATGACTATTTAAATACTCTTGCTGGCAGGAATGCCTGGTAACAATGGAGAAAAATTAAATGCTATTATGTATTCAATTAATGTGGGTAAGCCTTCCTTAAAAATGACATATATTTGCTAATCACTGGTAGTAGTTAGCCACCTTTAGTACAGGGGCGGACTGACCATTTGGAAACTCTGGCACTGCCCGAGGGCGCCTGGGGTCAGTAGGGGGCCCCATGAGATGCCCCTGGTACCTTTTTCATAGGCTTTTTTGAGTTTGGGCAAGGACACAGGGGCCCCATGATCCCCTATTGCCCGGGGGCCCCATGAGTTGTCAGTCCACCCCTGAGCAGTATTATACCCAAAAGAAAACATTTATTATATTGCAGCCAGGGGTGGACTGACAATTTGGAAACTTGGGCACTGCCCGAGGGCCGGGGTCAGTAGGGGGCCCCACGAGATGCCCCTGGTACCTTTTTCATAGGCTTTTTTGAGTTTGGGCAAGGACACAGGGGCCCCATGATCCCCTATTGCCCGGGGGCCCCATGAGTTGTCAGTCCGCCCCTGCTTTAGTACTCCCTGATCTAATGCAGACTTTCTCAAATGACTTCAACGTTACTATGAAAAACATTCAGCTGAATGCAACTAACTGCTCGCAGCTAAACCATGACCTGGCTAACTGAAAACCCTCACAGGCATATTTGCTATTCATTTTGCTAACACGCTGTAGTGAAATTCAGTGATATTCCTATGTGACAGGACTTCCCAAGGGTACAGCTACCTGTGTATATTTCACATACAAACACAGTTTTTGACATTTATATATCGATTGCATAGAGTGAGCTGCTGGTCGAAATTTCAGAAATTTTGAAAAATAACGAAAGCATATTTGAAGTTCTCTCCCTGAAGGGAATATCATTGCGGGGGATACAGTTAACATTTTCTTTTTTGGTGGATTGCCATTATTTGTGCAGTTTTAATGAAAACCTCTCTTTGGAGCGTGTAGATTTTTTGGCAACACTTGGGATATCTCCAAATTGAAAGTCTACAGCTTCACCTAAAAGCTGTATTCTATTCCTGTAATGGGTGTGGCCAGGGGCGGACTGACAACTCATGGGGCCCCCGGGCAATAGGGGATCATGGGGTCCCAGTTTGACATTTGATGATTGTCAAACCAATTTCTAGGGTGTAGTGCTTTAAACCAATATTTTTGGGTGCAGGTATAAAATAAGCCAAATATGCTCTTTAATTAATCAAACCCATTTTTTGTGGGTAGGGCTTTAAACCAATGTCTTGGGGTGCAGGTATAGACTAAGGCAAGAACGGGGGCGGACTGACAACTCATGGGGCCCCCGGGCAATAGGGGATCATGGGGCCCCTGTGACCTTGCCCAAACTCAAAAAAGCCTATGAAAAAGTACCAGGGGCATCTCATGGGGCCCCCTACTGACCTCGGGCCCTCGGGCAGTGCCTGAGTTTCCAAACGGTCAGTCCGGCCCTGGGCAAGAATGTTCTATAATTAATCAAACCAATTTTTGGGGGTACGGCTTTAAACCAATGTTTTGGGGTGCAGGTATAGAACAAGGCAAGAACAGGGGCTGACTGACAACTCATGGGGCCCCCGGGCAATAGGGGATCATGGTGCCCCTGTGTCCTTGCCCAAACTCAAAAAAACCTATGAAAAGGTAACAGGGGCATCTCATGGGGCCCCCTACTGACCCCAGGCCCTCGGGCAGTGCCCGAGTTTCCAAATGGTCAGTCCGCTCCTGGGTGTGACTGTTTTTTTTTCTGTAAGCAGCTGTAAATACTGGGCATGTTACATACACCCAAAAAACTTCACTGAAACTCACACAGGGCCCCATCGCTGCTCCCTTCCTCGCACTTTCCAGCAAATCCCAGCTGTCAAAATGACAGCCGAATGGATGATCTTCAGTCTGCATAGGATATCATTTAAAGCATCCTGACAAGTAAAATATATATATATATACAGTTGCAAGAAAAAGTATGTGAACCCCTTGGGATTCCGTGGAGTTTTGCATGAATTGGGCATAAAATGTGCTCTGAACGTCATCTAAGTCACAACGATAGAAGAACACAGTCTGCTGAACATATACTACTACACAAACATTAGATGTTGCCATGGTTTAATTGCACATAACATGTAAACATTCACAGTGCAGGGAGGAAAAAGTATGTGAACCTTTGGACTTAATAACTGGTTGACCCTCCTTTGGCAGCAATAACCTCAACCAAACGTTTCCTGTAGTTGCAGATCAGACCTGCACAACGATCTGGAGTCATTTTGGACCACTCCTCTTCACAAAACTGTTTCAGTGTAGCAATATTCTTGGGATGTCTGGTGTGAATCGCTCTCTTAAGGTCATGCCACAGCATTTCAATGGGGTTGAGGTCAGGACTCTGACTGGGCCACTCCAGAAGGCGTATTCTGTGCTGTTGCAGCCATTGTTTTGTTGAATGACTTGTATGCTTTGGGTCATTGTCCTGTTGCATCACCCATCCTCTGCGGAGCTTCAGTTGGCGGACAGATGGTCGTACGTTTTCCTGCAAAATGTCTTGATAAACTCTGGAATTCATTTTCCCCATCAATGACAACAATCCGTCCAGGCCCTGAGGCAGCAAAGTAGCCCCAAACCATGATGCTCCCTCCGCCATGTTTCACAGTGGGGGTGAGGTTTTGATGTTGGTGTGCTGTGCCTTTTTTTCTCCACACATAGTGTTGTGTGTTCTTCCCAAACAACTCAATCTTGGTTTCATCTGTCCACAGTATATTCTGCCAGTAGTGCTGTGGAACATCCAGGTGCTCTTTTGCAAACTTCAAACGTGCTGCAATCTTCTTTTTGGACAGCAATGGCTTCCTCCGTGGTATCCTCCCATGTACTCCATTCTTGTTTAATGTTTTCCTTATTGTAGATGTGTCAACAAAAATGTTAGCATGTGCCAGAGATTTCTGTAGGTCTTTAGCTGACACTCTGGGATTCTTCTTTACCTCATGCAGCATTCTGCGCTGTGCTCTTGCAGTCATTTTTACAGGACGACCACGCCTAGGGAGAGTAGCAACAGTGCTAAACTTTCTCCATTTGTAGACAGTCTGTCTTACCGTGGACACATGAACATCAAGGCTTTTGGAGATACTTTTGTAACCCTTTCCAGCTTCATGCAAGTCAACAATTATTGATCGTAGGTCTTCTGAGAGCTCTTTTCTGCGAGGCATGGTTCACATCAGACAGTGCTTCTTGAAACCAGTAAACCCAAAACAGGTGTGTGTTTTTTAAGGGCAGGACAGCTGTCAGCAACACATCCAATATCATCACACTGATTGGAGTCAAGGCTGGCTCACTCCTGGCTCCAATTAGCTCTGGGAGAAGTCATTAAGCTAGGGCCTCACATACTTTTTCCTCCCTGCACTGTGAATGTTTACATGTTATGTGCAATTAAACCATGGCAACATCTAATGTTTGTGTAGTATTATGTTCAGCAGACTGTGTTCTTCTATTGTTGTGACTTAGATGACGTTCAGAGCACATTTTATGCTCAATTCATGCAAAACTCCACATAATCCCAAGGGGTTCACATACTTTTTCTTGCAACTGTATATATATATATTTTTTTTTCCTTAATATTTTTACTTAACCACTGCCCGCCCAGATGGTGTAGGCAAAGCGACGTACCCGTACGCCCCTTCCTGCTTCTGGGTTTAGGGTGTGCTCAGGGGTGGACTGAAAACTCATGGGGCCCCCGGGCAATAGGGGATCTTGGGGCCCCTGTGTCCTTGCTCAAACTCAAAAAAGCCTATGAAAAAGGTAACAGGGGCATCTCATGGGGCCCCCTAATGTCTCATGGGGCCCTCGGGCACTGCCCGAGTTTTTCCAAATGGTCAGTCCACCCCTGGGTGTGCTCATGCATGCCCCCAGCCGGATTGTACATAGCGGGAGCCTGTCAGCAAGTCCTGGCATATTATTCACGCCCGGGACCTGCTGATCAGTGGTGTGCAATCACAGCCCAGAGCTCTGTGCAGAGAGAACGATCTCTCCGTTTTTCATCCCTGCAAAGTAGGGATAAGAAGCATAAAGATCTATTAGATCCATTACATACTGTATCTACAGTTTCTCACAAAAGTAAGTACACTCCACATATTTTTGTAAATATTTGATTCTATCTTTTCATTTGACAACACTGAAGAAATGACACTTTGCTACAAAGTGACGTAGTCAGTGTACAGCTTGTATAGCAACAAAAGTGAGTCCACCCCTAAGTGACAAGGTCCAAATTAGGCTCAAATTTTTGTGTGGTCACCATTATTTCCCAGCACTGCCTTAACCCTCTTGGGCATGGAGTTCACCAGAGCTTCACAGATTGCAAAAGTGAGTCCACCCCTAAGTGAAAATGTCCAAATTGGGCCCAATTAGCCATTTTCCCTCCCTGGTGTCATGTGACTCCTTAGGATTACAAGGTCTCAGTTGTGAATGGGGAGCAGGTGTGTTACATTTGGTGTTATTGCTCTCACTCTCTCATACTGGTCACTGGAAGTTCAACATGGCACTTCATGGCAAAGAACTCTCTGAGGGTCTGAAAAAAAGAATTGTTGCTCTACTTAAAGATGGCCTAGGCTATAAGAAGATTGCCAAGACCCTGAGACTGAGCTGCATCATGGTGACCAAGACCATACAGCGATTTAACAGGACAGGTTCGACTCAGAACAGGCCTCATCATGGACCTCATCGACCAAAGAAGTTGAGTGCACGTGCTCAGCGTCATATTCAGAGGTTGTCTTTGGGAAATAGACGTATGAGTGCTGCCAGCATTGCTGCAGAGGGTAAAGGGGTGGGGGTCAGCCTGTCAGTGATAAGACCATACGCATCAAATTGGTCTGCATGGCTGTCGTCTCAGAAGGAAGCCTCTTCTAAAGATGATGCACAAGAAAGCCTGCAAGCAATATGTTGAAGACAATCAAACTAAGGACATGGATACTGGAACCATGTCCTGTGGTTTGATGACACCAAAATCAACAGATTTGGTTCAGATGGTGTCAAGAGTGTGTGACAGCAACCAGGTGATTTGTACAAAGACAAGTGTGTCTTACCTACGGTCAAGCATGGTGGTGGGAGTGTCATGGTCTGGGGCTGCATGAGTGCTGCCAACACTGGAGAGCTACAGTTCATTGAGGGGACCATGAATGCCAACATGTACTGTGACATACTGAAGCAGAGCATGATCTCTTTCCTTCGAAGACTGGGCTGCAGGGCAATATTCCAACATGATAACGACCCCCAAACACACCTCCAAGATGACCACTGCCTTGCTAAAGAAGCTGAGGGTGAAGGTGATGGACTGTCCAAGCATGTCTCCAGACCTAAACGCTATTGAGCATCTGTGGGGCATCCTAAAACAGAAGGTGGAGGAGTGCAAGGTCTCTAATATCCACCAGCTCAGTGATATCATCATGGAGGAGTAGAAGAGGACTCCAGTGGCAACCTGTGAAACTCTGGTGAACTCCATGCCAAGAGGGTTAAGGCAGTGCTGGAAAATAATGGCGGCCACACAAAATATTGACACTTTGGACATTTTGGACATTTTCACTTAGAGGTGGACTCACTTTTGTTGCCAGCGGTTTAGACATTAATGGTTATTTTGAAGTGACAGCACATTTAACACAACAAACACTTTTCTCATGCGCTAGGAAAAGACTCAGTAGACCCAATAGGGATGTTCTGGAATTTTCTGGAATATGCACTGCTTGCTGCCCTCAACAGACCGGGGTGGTCCAAATACACTAGATGCAAATGGAGAAACAGAAAAAGGGCGCACCGACCTAGTGCATTATCGTTTAAAATATTTATTGAAGAAATAAAGTAAGTATCATACTCACAATAGACATAAAAACACAGGCATGTCAAACTGAACAAGATGTATGATCCAAACAACATCTGAGTCCATAAGATGGAACCCTGGATGACCAACCTGCTAACGCGTTTCGAGGACACAACCTCTTCCTCAGAGCCAACCACATTTACACTGTTATACAAGCTGTACACTACTTTACATTGTAGCAAAGTGTCATTTCTTCAGTGTTGTCACATGAAAAGATAGAACAAAATATTTACAAATATGTGAGGGGTGTGAGATTATCTATCTATCTATCTATCTATCTATCTATCTATCTATCTATCTCATATCTATCTATCTATCTATGTCATATCTATCTATCTATCTATCTCATATCTATCTATCTATCTATCTATCTCATATCTATCTATCTATCTATTCTATCTATCTATCTATCTATCTATCTATCTCATATCTATCTATCTATCTATCTATCTATCTATCTATCTATCTATCTATCTATCCATCTATCTATCTATCTATCTATCTATCTATCTATCTATTTCATATCTATCTATCTATCTATCTATTATATCTATCTATCTATCTCATATCTATATATCTATTTCTCTATCTATCTATCTATCTATCTATCTATCTATCTATCTCATATCTATCTATCTATCTATCTATCTATCTCATATCTATCTATCTATCTATCTATCTATCTATCTATCTATCTATCTATCTATCTCATATCTATCTATCTATCTATCTCATATCTATCTATCTATCTATCTATCTATCTATCTATCTATCTATCTCATATCTATCTATCTATCTCTCTATCTATCTATCTATCTATCTATCTATCTATCTATCTATCTATCTCATATCTATCTATCTATCTATCTATCTATCTATCTATCTATCTATCTATCTATCTATCTATCTATCTATCTATCTATCTATCTATCTATCTATCTATCTATCTATCTATCTATCTATCTATCTATCTATCTATCTATCTATATCTATCTATCTATCTATCTATCTATCTATATCTATCTATCTATCTATCTATCTATCTATCTATCTATCTATCTATCAATAAGGCATTTTACATTTTAACTAAAGCATTATTAATTCAGACAGTAGTTTTCTCACTGGTGGTGTCTTGTAAAAAAAGGAAACAGTTTTGTCCGATGCTTCAAAGCTTAATAGGACAGGAGGACCTGCAATATGGGAACTTTGAAGCATGTGGAGATCAAATGATCAAAAAAAAACCCCACAGGACAAATTTCTGAAAGCTCACTATGTATACACTCAGAGGTATGTAACAGGTTGAATTCCTAACAAGTACAATAAGTCAAGGACATAACATTTTTTGTCATTGTTGGAGGGAAGCAAACAGGCAGGTAAGTCTGCAGTAATGTGAAAGTTTTTCTTTATGGAAAGAACAGCTGAACTACAGTTCTACTTCAGCAATTAGACACACAGCTATTACAAGGGTAAAAATTATAATTTAAAGCTGTCTTTTCTCAACCTTTCTACCCCAGAGGAGCTCTTTACATATTTTTCAGGTGTTGAAGAACCCATGCTAAAAATGATTATGCCTACAGGCCATGGCACATTAGTATGAGCAGTAAGTTGTGAGATTAAAAATGCTTAGGTAAAATAATAAATAATGTGTCAAATGTAGAGTTTTTGAGACCCAGAGCAGGTCATATTTTTACACCCTCCTTCCGCCTGTATAAATTTTTTAAACATAGTAATATTATTAAAATTTAAAGAAACAAAATTACAGAAATTCAGTAAAAATTGTGGTGCCTCCTAACATTAGTGGTCACTGGAGAATGGTTCCTTTGAATTGGAGGTAAATGGAAAAAGACCCTTGCATTGGTGGACAGTGTAGATGGGAGATCAGTTCACCTTATTCACAGCTTAACCCTTTGAGGACCGTAAGGTTTTGGAACGCCAAAAGAATCATTTTTTTTGTTTTTAAAGTTCGTACACTTCAGTTGCTGTAACTAAGCCATTTCATGAAATAATTGGCAAAAAGCTAGATCCATTTGTTGTTTGTTGATAAGAACTAATATTTTGACTCAAACCAAAAAAAAAAAAAAGACCGAACCGGATATCGTATGTACTCTCCAGCGCCTCAGGATATGCACAGCCAAAAGGGAAGCCAAGGGTACCAGGACAGCGACAACCAAAGGAAATGTTCCAGGGGTGCAGCCCTCCTCAGACAGGGAAATCAGCCACTGGATAGAGAGAAAACAGGTGGCGCACACACCTAGTGCATTATCCAAGGTATATTGTAGGAATGAAAGAAATAATAAAAACATACTCACAGACGAAGCATGTATCTAAAAAGCATAGAAAAATGACAATGGCCACAAATGACATCTTAATCAGATAATACACGCAATTAAAAACATGACACAGACAAATACGTCCCTTGGTCCTCAAAGCGTTAACCTCCCTAGCCTATAACCTAGGTCTGATTATGTCCATATTTCTGTGCTCAAAGCGGTACATTTTTTTGCATGGAAATATGTATTTTTTTATTGTAGGCCTGTCATTCTTAGGAATAACTCACTGAAATCTGTCCAAACAAGAGTCTAGTAAACATCCCCAGTATGTTACAATTTGAAACATGAAATCATAAATTATAATTTAATAAGTAATCATAAAAAATAATAATATAATAATACATTTAATTCAATAATATAATCAAACAAAAAACACTGAAATTTGAAATAAAGCGCCAAGTTCGCACATCGCTGAGCAAAGTCACAAAATCGTTTTCAGTGTCTGATGAGGAATTTCCCCCACGAATCATTATCACTCAATTCTGCAAGTGGTTCTGATTTACTATCGCTGTTCTCTAGCCGGTCTAAAACCACTTTTGACCTAAAGGGACGCTTTTTGGACGCCATGGACGTTTCTCAGTTTCCAGGCAGAAAGAACAGTAAAAATGCAGGCAGGGCGCCGGACAAAGCACTCG